CTGAGTGCTTAATTTGTGCACGCAGCCGGGCAAATGGTGCTTTGGCCCATGTAACTGTTGGCTTTGCAGGCACAAGGGCAGTAATGGAGGTCAAGAATTTTCAAAGTGGAGCCTCACGTCAGGCTTCTAAAGCCATAGTGAGGCGTCTAAGTAAGTAGCCTGGTTGGTCAGAGGGTGGGCAGAGCCGCCGGCAGCTCCCAATGAGCTGTGCCATTGTACAGAGGCTAAGGACCTACTCCACTGTTGACTAGTGTCCTTTATTCTACGGTGGTACCCTGGAAAAAAGGTACCATCCCTGCAAAAGAGGCACCATTGCAGGACCTTCTCCAGGTCTTAGATCTGTGCTTTGACACCAGCTTTTCCTTAGCCAGGTTCCTGCTGCACCAGGAAGCTAGTAGGGGCAGGTGTTCCCGTACCTATTGCTATTAGCTGGGCAAGGATTCAGAGCCGGAGCCTAGCTCTGAGAAGCTGAAATCTGCAGGGAAAAGGGGGAGACCTCCATGATGAGACGCTGAATGGAGACATTACTCAATGGGGCTTAGGCGGTTGGAGTCAGAGCTGTGCTGGCAGAGCACCAAGGGAAGAAGCTTGCAGTAACTGCCGCCTCCCTAACGCCTCTTAAGTGCTCCGTGGCGTGTCCCCTCCCTTTCCTTCTTGATTCTTTTCCTAACTGTAAATGCACCGTAAAAATGGATCAAAATTGCTTAAATCACCATCATTAAATCGGTATGGGCCCCCTCCCACCTCGGTGGACAATGGCTGGCGCGAAGCATTTGTTCCGTAGACCGAGCAGCAGTCTTTATTGCACTGAAAGCATATTTGCTGCTTGATGGAAGGAGAAAAAAAAAGTGTGCCTGAAAGGGAAAAATCAATGGGGCTCATTTCTCCCTGGATGCGTCATGCTGGGCCATTCAGCTGGCTGACATCGCGGGAGGCCAGGCACACGCAGCCGGGGGGCTGTCTCCCAAAAGGATCTCTGGCGCAGTCCTGCAGGCACTGTGGAAATGCTGCAGCAGTGGGGAAAGCCGGCAGCTGCATGCTCTCCCCTCACCAGCCGGTGGCGCTGTGACTACCCTGTCTGGAACTGAGGGATCTGTGGTTGCGGTAACTGTTCAGGTCTGAGCCAAAGCTCATTGAAGTCAATGGGGGTATGTCTACACTTAACACTAAGCCTGAGCTCTGATTCAGGTTTGAGCCCAAGCCCCCTTCTGTCTACACACAAATCAGCCGGACTAGGATCAGGAAGCACTCAGGACCCACATCCCTGCTAGGGCGCGTGGGTCAGAGCCCGAGTCCTGCTGTGACTTGGCTCCAAGCCCCGTCGTTTGGCAGCGTGGATGCAGCTCAAACCACAGAGCCGAGCCAGAAGGTCTGGGTAGTGCAGTATGGATGTGTTAGCATGGCTGTGAGAGCCAGGTTCAGATTCACAATGCAGCGTGGAGACTCAAGCGTGGGCTTGGAAACACTGAGCCCACAAGCCCGGGTTCTACAGAGCCAGGTTTGTAATGCAGTGTAAATATACCCCTGGGAGCCCCTAATGCAGAACTGCACTGTCCTGCCGGAAGCCCCCATGAGTCACAAATGAAAGGGCTACGGCGAGAGGAAAGAATGGCCCAGTAGTCAGGGTGCTCTTTTCTCTGCCCTAAGCTTCCTATGTGATTCTGTGCCTCAGTTCCTGATCTCTACAATGGGTCAATAACACCACCCTGGCTCACGGGGGTGTGATGGGGATAAATACATGAGAGATGGTGCAGCACTTAGATACTGCATGTTTGGGAGCTGGGGACCATAAGTAGATACTGTGGTGCGTTCTAAGGGGAGGCCAGCATAACCAGCACATCCCAGAATGGCACATGGTGCCGCAGAAGCACTTCGCTCCGCCGGGATTTCATAGCTTGGTCAGTGGCATTTGGCTGAATGTTGGTAGTAGCACAACTGAGCTCCAGCCCAAGCCAAATCCCTTGCTGGCTGTTCAGTCCTCTTCCTCGTCACTGGGCAGAGGTCGTGTGAGTTGGGGGTCTGTGCCAGGACCTGTTTAATGTATGCACTGCAGAATCCGCTTCCCTTTCATGCAGGCAAAACCCTGGCATGGCTATGAGTCAGGGCCGGATTAACCTTTTGTGGGCCTGGCCGCAAACATATTTGTGGGCTCCCATGGGGGCAATGGAGCCTGGCATGGGGAGGTCAGTCCCTGAAGTGAGGGGCCGGCCAGGGGCATGGTATGGCAGGGATGGTCCTGCCCAGCCCGGTGCGAGGGCACTAGTTACAAACTGGCGGGCCCCAGTGCGAGGGCACTAGTTACAAACTGGCGGGCCCCAGTGCGAGGGCACTAGTTACAAACTGGCGGGCCCCAGTGCGAGGGCACTAGCTACAAACTGGCGGGTCACTCTGCATCTGGCAACTGCCCGGCCCTGTGCTGCCAGCATGCCCCTTCTCCTTGGGGGCAGGCCAATGCTGCGCCACACAGTCCCCCTGCCCAACACCCCCCTGACTCCCTATTGCCAGAGCCCTGCTGGACCCACGATGCCCACTGCCCCCACAAATGCCCAGTGCCCTGCACAACACCACTCCTGCCCAGTGCCCCCTGCCCACAGCCCCACGACAACTGCCCAGCACCCCCACCAGAGACCCACGCCCTGCCTCCTACCCACACTCACCGGCCCAGCTGGGAGGCAACTCTGTCTGCCAGGCTGACCCGGGCCTGAGAATCACTCCAGCCCTCGCGAGTGGTGCAATCAGCCAGGCCATGGCCTCAGGAGCCACTTGCCTGGAGGGGGGCCCATCCAAGCCCCCCACATGGTCCCCCCCAACCTGGCCGAGATTGGCCAGGCTTCTGCACCAGTTAGGGTGACCAGATGTCCCGATTTTATAGGGACAGTCCCAATTTTGGGGTCTTTTTCTTATACAGGCTCCTATTACCCCCCACTCCCAGTCCCGATTTTTCACACTTGCTGTTACCTTAGCACCAGTCCCAGGTGGCTCTGGGGAGGCAGGCGGGGCCCCACAGATGGTGGGAAGCAGAGACTGCCCAGAGCCAGAGGTGCACTGTGGTCCAGCCAGGGGGGCAGAGAGGAGCTGGCAAGTGCAGCCAGGGGGTGGAGAGGAGCCCTCGGTCGACGGGCAGGCCGAGAGGAGCAAGTGGTGGGTGGGGCTGGCGCCATGGTAAACCTGGTACTGCTCTGAGCCCAGGTGGCACTGACTCCATCACAAACACTCGCCCGGGCCTGCCCGGTGGGTAGTCCACCCAGAGTCAGTCACGAAGGCCAGGGAGTGCTGCAAAGCCTGTGGCCTTAGACCAGGCAGTGGGGATGGCTTCCAGCTGCTCTGCAATAAGCCCTGTGGATGTTTAGCTCATGGTGAGGGGGGATAGGGGAAAAAGGAAGGTTCTGTCTTAGGGGACTGGAAAGGTAGGAGAGAGAGAGATGGCTACAGCCAGCGTATGTAAACACCAGCTTTCTACCAGCTGTACCAATGGACAAGCACAAAGGGGATTTAAACTGGAATAACATACAGCAGCTTGGTCCCATCAGCCTCCCCTTATGACACACCCTCCCTTTGTCTCACAGGTCGGCCTGCTACAGGACAATTGCTGCTTCCCCTGGTGTTTTATTACAATGTTTACAAAAGTCAGAAAAGAGGCAAATTGAAAAGTATCTCCAACTGAATGCATAGATTTGTATATCATAAGGCCAGAAGTGACTATTCTATCGTCTAGTCCAGCGGTTCTCAAACTTCATGGCACCGTGACCCTCTTCTGACAACAACAATTACTACATGACCCCAGGAGGGGGGACTGAAGCCTGATCCCACCAAAGCCCCACCACCCTGGGCGGGGAGGGGGCCAAAGCCGAAGCCCAAGGGCTTCTGCTCTGGGTGGGGGCACATAACCTTAGCCGTGGGTGGTGGGGCTTGGGCTTCGGCCCTGGACCCCAACAAAGTCTAATACCAGCCTTGGCAACCCCATTAAAATGGGGTCCAGACCCACAGTTTGAGAGCCCCTGATCTAAGTCTGACCTCCTGCACAGATCAGGGCAGAGAACTTCATCCAGCTGCTGCTGTATTGAGCCTAGTCACTTGTGGCTGACGAAAGCCTCTCTCTCTGAAAGACATCCAGGCTGGATCTGATGATTCCAAGAGATGGAGAATCCATCCTTTCCCTTCAGAGTTTGTTCCTTATGTCTAACTAGAACTTGTTTTTGGCTTCCAGCCATTGGTCCTTGCAGGGCCGGTGCAAGGAAGTTTTGCGCCCTAGGCGAAACTTCCACCTTGCGCCCCCCCCCCAGCCCTGCGGCAGCTTCCCCCCCCCCCCGTGCCCTGAGGCACCTCCCTGGGGAGCCGTGCGGCAGTCCCCCACAAGCCTGGGAGGGGAGGAGAATTAGAGCGGGGGCTGCGTGCTCTGGGAGGAGTCGGAGCAGAGGTGAGCTGGGGTGGGGAGCTGCCGCACGGCTGTGGGGGGGGGGAATTGGGGGCACCGCTTTTTGGCGCCCCCAAATCTTGGGGCCCTAGGCAGCCGCCTAGTTTGCCTTAATGGTAGCACTGGCCCTGGGTCCTTGTGACGCTTTTCTCTGCTTTCTCAATCGCCTGAGTTGACTACTAGATTCTCAATCGCCTGAGGTGGGGGTGGTAGTTGTTTTTAGGATTATATCAGTTTAGTTTGGGGCAAACAGTAAAGAAAACATGCATTGAATTAAATGTCAGTACAGCACCTAGGGTGGTGGTGGTGATGGTCTCAGTCCAGTTCCTAGTTGACAGAGGCCCTTGTCAGAAAAAACACCCCAACAATGGGCAGTAATTGGCCCCCTAGCTAGCAGTCACAGGAGAGAGGCCAAGGACTGACTAGGCCATTGAGACAGGACTCAGGGCTGGAGAATGCTGGTGGGCACATGAGGAAAAACTTGCCCTGATGCTGCCCAAGCTGTAGTGCCTTGGAGATACCCAGAGGCCTTCATTCTCCAGGGCCAGCAATCTGGTACCTTTCACCCACACTAAAATAAATGAGGGCACAAATAAAACGACTGTTTATTATGTCACATGGAAATAGCCAATTGCGGCAAAGAGCGAATGACTGACAACTACATGGTAACGCCCTCTGAGCTAACCATATTTACACTCTTAATTAATCAATAGGTAAAATTAAAGTAGTGGGAAAATGAAATTATACTTCTGACATCGTCAATATCCTACAGTGTAACATTGGTCTCCTGCATGCTACTGGGGTGTGCCCATTGGAAAGACTTATAGACAGAACTCTGTAAAGAAGACGACATACATTAGTTGGAAGTGAGCTGTGATTCTTACTCATCTGATTGGTGAGAGATTCATACCTGCCTTTAAAGTGGCTATTTTGAGTAGATCGATAAGGGTTTTGTTTCTTCAGAAATCCCACCCAGTTGTGGGAGATGCATCCCCCAGAGGATACTGTTCCTGGGAGTTGGGTACAAGTTTGCTTTCCCAAACTTCAGCCAGCGAGTTTTGTTTGTTCATATGGAACTCACTCGTTCAGTGCATGATGTACATGCACGATGTCATGTAACCTGAGGTCTGTTGCTGGTTTGTAATAACACAGAGTCATGCCAACAGACAGTCCACCCCGCATGCTTTCCCAGAGGATGTTCAACTTGCAAATAAGCCTTTTGGTTCCCCTCTAGTACTAAGAATCAGTCTCCGAATTAGAGCCACCTCAATGCTTGGGAACAATGCATTTACATAGGCTCCAAATGGCTTAAGAACCTCATTGGGAGTTCCTTGCATTCATGGAAAATCTAAGGTTCAGTAAGGGTAGATACAGTGGAATTAGGAATAAATACATCCAGCTCTCATGAGTGTGGCTGGTTAATCCCACTGTCCAATTACCGCCTAATCTGTGCATATTCTGGATTGCTGAAATCCTGCACTATGTTCTCTTCAGAGTCTTCTTCACTGTCTTCTTGCCTCTGTAGAGTGCTCCGAACGCTCTAGAAATGAAGATGTAGAAAGCCATTATGCAGCCTACCATTTTGATCTCTGATCTCCTCTATTCTGCTATAGGTTTCCTTTAGTGAGGTTACTCCAGAATTGCACCAGTGAGCCTGAAATCTGACTTTCAGGCTACCAGTAAGAGGGGACCTAAGCAAAAACCCCAGATCTAAAACACCCCTCAGACTTTGGGGAAACTTAGATCTGAATGTGAACATTGATACTTGGGCCTACAGTGCTATATTTACTTAGTTACATGATCCAGCCGTTATCTGACTCTGTGCTGCACAGACTTCTAGCCAGGGTGTAGGCCCTGGTAAACAAAAGCAATCCATGCTGGAACTTGAGCTGTGTAGGAATCTGTTTTTGTCTTAATAAATGTTTCCCATTCAAGAAAAACTGTGATTCAAACTATCATGAGCAGGCTGATCTCTGATCATAGCTAGAGCTGTGTCAAATGGGCTGGGGTGAACTTGGACAAGTTTGGGGTTTAGCTAGATAAAAGAACCCCAAATGTCTCCACAGCTCAGTGACCCCCGTGAAGTTCTTAGTTGCTCATGGTTTTGCTACAAAATAATATTTTCTAAGCATGTATATGTTAAGTATTTGTTTACATTTCCTGGACCTTTTTCACTGTGTGACATTTCCTGATCGTCATATGCCAAGATGCTTGTCTTGGTGCTTTTTAATAGCAGATGGTTTATATTTTGGTAAACAAGGCAGGAGCTGTTTAATGTCCTTCCTCCTTATTTGTAACTTTCAAAATTGGTTCTAAAAGGAGCCTAATTTATGCCAGTTCCCCAAATACTGTTCAGCTGGGCTCCTTGGGCCAAATACTCCATAACTGGGTACACTGTTGTTATTAACCATGTTTACTGCCGTAGTGCCCAAGGACCAACCAAGAACAGGCCCCATTGTGCTAGGTGCTGCCCAAACACAGAACAGGAGAAGTTCCCTGCCAGAAGAGCTGACAAACTAGAGAGACAAGACAGACAGAGGTTGGGGGAAGGGGTAGAACACACAAGTACAGTGAGCAATGTAATGACAAATGTCACGTTAATGCCACGATTATTTTTGGGGGGAGGGGAGGAGTAACAGAGAAGGGCTACTAGGATGATCAGAGGAATGGGGAACCTGCCTTATGAGAGGAGACTTAAGAAGCTTGGTTTATTTAGCCTAACAAAAGAAAAGCTGAGAGGAGATCTGACTGCTGTCTACAAATACATCCAAGGGATAAACACCAGGGAGGGAGAGGAGTTGTTTAAGTTAAGGGCCAATGTTGGCACAAGAACAAATGGATATAAACGGGTCATCAATAAATGTAGGCTTGAAATTAGACAAAGGTTTCTAAGCATCAGAGGAGTGAAGTTGTGGAACAACCTTCCAAAGAGGTCGCGGGGGCAAAAAAACTAACCTGTTTTAAGACTGACCTTGATAAGTTTATGTTGCAATTGCCTACAATGGCACGTGGCCCATCCATGACTGCTATCATCAAGTATTTCCAACAGCTGGAGATGGGACACTAGATGGGGAGGGCTCTGAGTTACTACAGAGAATTCTTTCGTAGGTGTCTGGCTGGTGGGTCTTGCTCACATGTTCAAGGTCTAACAGATTGCCATAATTGGGAAGGAATCTCCCCCTAGGTCACATTGGCAGACATCCTAGGTTTTTTGCCTTCCTCTGAAGCTTGGGGCAGGGGTCACTTGCAGGTTTAAACTAGAGGAAATGGTGGATTCTCTGTAACTTGATGTCTTTAAACCAAGATTTGAGGACTTTCAGTAACTCAGCCAGAGGTTAGGGGCTACCATAGAAGTGGGAGGGAGGTGTTAGGTTCTGTGGCCTGCGATGCGCAGGAGGCCAGACTAGATGGTCATGATGGTTCCTTCTGGTGCTAGAGTCTGAGCTAGGAGGGGCTCAGCTAAACGGAAAGAAAAGGGAAGGAGTAGGGGGACAGGGAAGGAGGGAAGAGACTGCGAGGGAGGGAGACACCTAGAGAAAACAGCCAATCAGCAATGACTCCAATGTTAGTCTGGGAGTAAGTGGGTGGCACTTTGGCCCCCTTCAATCTCCATGAGCTCAGCTTTGGAAGTGGTGACAGCCGCTCTCCTCTTCAGGGGTCATTTCTCCCCCCCCCCCTCCCCGAGTGGTTTGAATTTACTTTCTTTGAGCACTGGGATGGGGGGGCGGCCTCGGGCTCTAATCCAAGGCCAAAATCCTAATAGGACACGACCGTGTTGCTGCGTCTCTCTCACCTGGCTGTTGGCGGACCATGGCAGGGTGGAGGAAGGGTGTGTGGCGCTCATTGGCCTGGCATCGTAATTTCCAGACGCAATGTGGATCTTCGCTCTGAAATCCTAGCCAGGCGACACACCAATGGTGAGGGTCAATGCCAGCTGTAGACGAAGCCCTGGCATGCGCGCGGGTGTCTCCCGCGTAATAGTGCAGTGAATAAATGCAAGCTAGCCAAGGGAACTGTGTGAGCTCGGTTTCTGGGACTTCCCTAGCTGCTGTAGGTATAACTAGCACACAGGGCTAAATCGGGAGCAGATGCAAAACAGCTGGGAGAGAGAGTTGGCAAACTCAGCTTGATTTAATCAAACCAAAGGCATTGGCTTGCATCGGGGGTGGGCACTTGCCACTAGCCCTTAAGAAGCTGTGTGCTCTTCCCTCCATTGCTGGCTGGGGTCAGACCAGGACCCTGGCTCCTTCATAGTCCTTGCTGCATCTGTGCATGATGCCCGCATGAAGGGGAAGGTGCCTTGTGCCCTGCGCGCCTGCTTACAGGCTGGACATAATCGGCCACTAAGCATCCCCTGGGTTAGGCCAGAAGTGTGCAAGTGCTTGAACAATACACATGCAGAGCTGGCATTGTACTGGGTTAATGTGGGGTGTATCTTCTTGTAGAGGGATGGACTCGATGAGGCTTTTTTATCTGAGATGATCCCGTGTGATGGAAAATTACAGGTGCCTCAGAAATACAAATTGCTCATTAAAATCTTATCTC